ATGTAACAAAGTGTTGCTAACGGATAGGTATGCGCTAATATGATACGATATCTATAATTAGAACGTTCGTTCAAGGCGAGTTATTGATGCGCTCTCGCATAGCATTATTTGCCATTTGCCCCAAGCTTTACAACCATTATTTTTTTTAATTGGATAATAGCATCTATTATCAGAGATTATTTATTTCAAAAGATAGAAAACGTCTCTCTTCTTAAATCGGATTTTTTTTAGATGTTTGTCCATGAAAATTTTTTACGCGTCGATTTACGTTTATCCGAAGATAAGGAAAGAATCTGGCGTAAGAAAAGAAATTCAACGCAGCGGCGCCACGATGTCGCTTTAAATTTAGATCGCAGGAGGGAGCAGATATACACTTACACGATGACCCGACGCGTGTTTTAAAAATTTCATTCTCGATATATGCATCTGACGTCACCACATCAAAAATAACTATCAGCATAAAGTTAACCGCAGATTTTATTCTCGTACTTTGATCATGGATTTAGCAAACTCGCAAACACGGTAAATTATTCATATTAAGTATTATATTATTTGGATTAACATCTCGATTTTTCTCGTTATTTTTATTTTCGGAAATGTGATCGTTTCTCATTTCGCGCGAACATAATACATATTGCATCTCTGGTATCGTCGACGATGCTTGCGTAGGATAGCATCGATTAATCCGTTTAAGGTCACCGACTCGAAAGCCTCTGCATAATAGCAACTTTCAAGAAAAAGAATAACATGCGTGCGACTATGTTATCAATGAACTCAACAGCGGCGTCATGAATAAACTTATATAGCAAGAATCGCTATTAATATAACGTCTTTTTTTAAATAAAAAAATATAATATTTTGATGCGGATTTTATATCGCGTGGGTTGCAGATTTACTTCTGAAATAGTTACAGACAAATCGTGTGGGACTATACTGTTGCTGCTCAATGAGGTGCGATCTATTCCGAATAATATTGCTCGACATCTACATTCTCGAGTTATCGATTTCTTTGTACCTTATGCACTTCCGTTCGGCGTCCAAGCATCTAAACAGCCAGTCAGACACGGTTGACGGCTGTTCTTATATTCCCTGCACGCATGTCTCGGCGACGGCATGTACCTGCATTTGCGCTCCGCATACAATGCAGCACGACTCGAAGCAAGGTCTCGAGCGCGCCCGATGCAACGCGATAAACTATTGCGTGAACGGAGGAACTATTTAAATGGACGTGCAACGAGGTGTGTGTTCAAAATGCACAAATGTGACAAATATTATGTGTCAAACGATGTGTCAAATATCTAAATTTCTCTTCGGATTTTATCTTATCTTTTCTTATTGACTTGCAATGCAAATTTTTCGCATAACACTAAATAACTGATTAATAATAATATTAATTGCAATAAATATATAGTTATTTTTTACTTTTACAATTTAGCTATTAGTCTATTTTCCTAGAATTGGCATCGCAGTGTTCGATTGTTCACTCAAAAAAATGATCTTGCAATAATAGCTAAAATTTTCTAGGTGTAAAAAATTAACTAAAACAGATAAATGATTAGCAACTGTTGTGATATTGCATATGTAATTACTTAATCAGTTTAGATGACAGAAACAGAATATATATCTGTATTGTTTGTGAACTTAAAAAAGAAAGTTTCTCTAAAGCGCCTATCTATATAAGATCAATCACGTGTTAGATCATGCAATGAATAACATTTAGCAATGGTACCTAATTTTTTCAGAAGCTATTGCTAGAACATTACTGCTATAAATTCTATATGTGACAAACAATGTTTTCACAGATACGAAAAATAGCGATACATTCTTGTTGCGATATCTAGAAATCTAACTACATCAGCGAAATATTTTTTTGAGTGTTAAGCTTTCATAAAAGAAACAACATTAAATGACAATATATAAATTTTAAATTTTATTATTTATAGTTTTTATTGATTTGCAGTGTAAATTTTTGATAAAGTAAATATATAATTAATAATAATATTAATTGTTGTAAATATATAATTTTTTAAGTTTTATATTTTAGTTAAATAGTATTTTCCTAGAACTTCCTAGAATTAAAAGAATTGTATTGTGTTCGCTGCACAATTGCTGGAAAACATATTGCTCTCGCGATGTCGAGAATCAAACAATTGCCATTGCGATATTCGATCGTTAAGCTCGGTGCGGGAATTCGCGATGCGAGAGGGTGAACATGTCACGAGAGCGATCGTTTTGCAATCACTATTGTGATAAATGGTCCTGCGTCCCACGTTTATTCGCGCGAAACTTTAAATTGTTTGTCACTGTTCTTCCATCTACAATCTCAGCATTCCGTTCTCTTTAAAAATCATAGCACGTCGTGTCACATGAAATACAATATTTATGTCATGGTTGATCCATGTCTTGAAACGTACCCGAAGAAAAGTTATCTTATCAAATAAATAATTTATGGACGATGTTATACGCGGAATAAAGCGCTCGCAATTCAATGTTCATAGTTCACTGGAACAAACTGTTGGAGAATTGTTACACAGTTATGACATCTGTCTCTACCTCCAGGCGCCGCGGAACCGGGGAGGTAGAGGGGGCGATCGCCCACCCAAAGATAATTCAGGGGGGGGGGGGCTACGCCCTTCTGAAATTTTTCTGTTTTCTTTAAGTATTTCATGACCGAAAATATTGAGCATCAAATATTTACATCAAAGGTGGAAAAATGAGTTATTTTTCTTTTCTTTTTTTTTCTTTCTTTCTTTTTCTTTTTCTTTTTTTGATTATTTACTCGTTCAATTGAAATACACTACATAACGAAGAAAATTAAGCGCATTAAGTTAATTAGAGCAAAAAATCTGTGCATATTTTTCGCACATTTATACTACACAGATAGCAACAATAAGTTCCAACTGTTATCGCATATTTACACTGAAAAAAAAAATAGTTGAAATAACCATAATTTCACTAAAATTTATAGTAAAAAGTTTCATTGTTTCTCGGAATCATGCGTATAGGGTTATATAACTAGTATTATAGTAGAATTTACTATAAAAAATGAGTATTTCGACTATAATTTTTTTACCATGCAATTATAGTTTATTTTATCATCGATTTTTTTTCAATGTATCCACTGAGTGGCCTATTATATGGTGTTTGAAGTTACATACATATACATATACATATTATGAATGTATTATGTATCCCCTTTATAAATTTTGCCCCCTCAGATGAAAAATACTTCCGCGGCGCCTGTCTACCTTATATCCATACACATCAACTTTCTACGACTTTTAAGGCAGCTGTTGAATTGCGGTATAACAAGCGCGCGGTGTAATGAGATCATTGCTATATCTTGCTTCGCGTGGACACATGCAAATATGCGCATAAACTCGATTGTCTGCACCCACTCGGTGACCTTCGCGGTCCGTTGAACGTTTTTGTGGTCGTTCGGAGATGGTTCTAGCGTATCGCGTTGCCCTCGTTTTCATCAGACGGGATTAATGTGCGACCCCAGCTCATACAAAACGTGACCGACACAGAAGCCGCGTACGAATCGAGCGTGACCGCACTCCGGTTCCCTTGGTTTTTGAAATCGACATGATCATTTATCGATTTCCAGAGGTAAGAAACACGCCTTGGTTCGTATCAAACTTTAATTTCAATTTCCCAGCGAGTATTGGGCTAAAAATATAACGCCCACGGTTTGATCTATCCTGCGACCTTGCAGATATCACATTTACAGATGCAAACGCGATTCATCTTGAATTTTCATTATAGCGACAAGCTAGCCGGTCGATCGAAACATTTAAAAGTCAGATAATATCGCGCTACATGGTTCTTTCGCGCGATTAAACCGAAATGTAACGATGGGTTTTCTGCGAAACGCCGGGTGTGTCCTCGTTTCGAATAATTCGCTCGATTTGTTTCGCGGGTCGACGACGCAATTAGGAAGAACGGCAAACTCCGCGCGAATTATCCGGCAACCTTAAACAGCTGCGACAGATGTTATCGCCAAAAATAAAACGAATGGGTTGTTTGCGATCGAAATATGGCACGCGCGCACGCCCGGTGCAAAGGGATGTTGTGTTTCGATAAAACCTATCCCCTGCCTCTCCCCCGATTTAATTGTTTGCTAGTCGAGGCAAGAGAGAATGCAGCAGCGCGAACGGCAGCGTTGTCGGCTTAACTGTCAGCTCCTCATTGTCCGACCGCGCCAATTAATGAAACGGGCACTCAACGAAGCGACCAATAAAGGGAAATAAAAATGTAATGGATGCGTTTATTGGCTATCATTGGATACCGTTGGATATATACATTCTCTTATCGCTCGACCCCCTGAGTTACGAAAATGTTCCATTAGTCACTCTGGCTGAGCCAAAACAGACGTATCGAATAGTTGATAGCGAACACTCGGCGTGCACAATTATCAGTCGGCGTCTGGCACATTGATCGACGTAATATACTTTTATTCGATCACATGACGTTTGACGGTTTCCTATCATGCATCGTTAACCCTTTGAATACGGGTTTTTTCTTTTGAGAAATAAAACGTATAATTTTCATGAAAAACTATTTTTTTGTTAGTTATATGAATTGTTTTATCATGAAGTATATCATGTGCAATAATAAGGCAAGTTTTTAGTATTGCAATTTACGCAATTATTACATAATATTAAAACTTAATAGAATAAGGAAAAGATAAAATATTAATAAGTACTTGAAAAAAATTGTTTTTTATGTGCCAAACAATCTGATGAGAAATCACTTGTCTCAAATACTTGTCGAGTTAAAAGGCATTCAGAGGGTCAAGAATCAGAGTTCATCAGAGTATGTTTCTACATTTAGCGATCAGAATCTCGAAATTAACCGCGCGCGATAATTATTACGGCACTGACATGGTTCGATAGTTATCTCTTGGTGAGAATATGATAGAACGTGACTCGACCTGTTGCAGGCGCGCAGCAGCAGCAGCATAGTATGGTGCCAGTGACTGAAGACTTCTCCGAAACATGAAGAAGCATCCACACATCCTCGCGTGCGTCCTACTCCTGCTGCCTCTGACACTGCTGGGTCTGAACCTGCAGGAGGACGACCTGGTCTTTGACGACGTCAGCGAGGACAATGACAATGACAATGTGCCCGTTGGACCCGCCCTGATAAATCATCGCACGAGTCGTGGTCGATCTGAATCGTCATCAAGGAGACACGCCTCTCGGATGGTCGAGAAAGCATGGGGCATGCCGGACGCTATCGTCCCGATTGGCCATGTTTTCAAGATGAAAATACCGCGTCAGGCCTTTTCGGGGAATGTGGATTTTTACGAGGTAAGTCAGTGGCTGCTCACAACTTATTTTTGGACTTCGATCTTGGAATGTGACCGGAAGACTTCTTTGCCAGACTTCGATCTTGTATTATGCAGGGTACGATTCCCCGATGAGAGAAAGATACAGCGCATTTTATCCGAATTTTATAAATCTTAAATTTGTAGCATGTAAAAAATAAAAGAGATATCACGTTTAAAATTTGACGAATAAATTTGATAAAATTAAAATTTATAAATACGTGAGCATCTATGGCTTAGTTTACACCGATTGTTTAATACGCGTACCAAGTACTAAATCAGCTTCTTTGATTGGTGTAGATTTTACACTAAACGATTTATACCTATCGGAGAAGCAGATTTAGTATTTGGTACGCGTACTAAACAATCGGTGTAAACTAAGCCTATGTCACATCGAAAAATCTTTATACATATAATGTATATTAAGAATAAGAGAAGAAATTTTTTTCAAATGCACTGTACTAGTATTTATACCAAGTAGAAGCTGCATTGGATTTAGGCAATTTAACACTTTTCTCGTAATTTTTATCGAATTGTAGTAAGTCAAGAGTGCCCGCCTCTACTGAGCGCTATTGATTTACTCGTGTTCTCACATCTGTCATTTTCTTCCCTCTTGAGCCCTGTCGGCGTCTCTCGTTGAATCCATATTTGCGATTCAATTTGTTCTCCCCACTCTTCAGTGAATCTCACGGCCGGAAATCCTTCTTATGTTGAATGGCCCTAGTCTTCCCTTTGTCCTTGAAATTATTCAGGCAACGAGTTCATTTCATTGTGGGAAGCTGATTCAAAAATTCTCACAGTCAGTGTCAATATAAAATATAAATTTTTTTTTCAAGAGAAATAATAGTAAAAAATAATAATAAAAAATACGTTAATTAAAATTGATACAGAGGATAGCTAGCCACGCATATTGTTTGTGTTACAGTTACAATTTTAAAATCATCATACAAAAACTTGTTATAATATGGATGTGAATTAGTATCCGCAGTGAGACGTTGAATTTCAATGCGTGGCTCACTATCTTCTGTATCAGTCTTTATTAATTTATTTATTTATACAATCCTAAGAGGAATATGTTATTTATTCATACATTAAAAAATATACAGGTTCGCGAAACTATTGATCGCGATCGTTTCCCACGATGGATGTACTGGGACGACGCGGCGTTCACTCTTTTGGGTGTGCCATCGAAAAAAGACATGGGTAATTATCACTTAACTGTCACCGCAGTCGGTAAGCACGGTGACACCGCTAAGGATCAATTCGTCGTGCAGGTTGTGCCCGAGAAACAAGAGGAAATCAAACATAAGGACGGCAAGGTGAGTTGTAGTGAAAATGTTAACTCCGTAACGAGAACGGGAGCGGCGTGAGGTAGAATCGTTAGTCGCGAAAATAATACACCTGGCATTGTTTCAAGTTTCTTATCCAAGTCGAACAACAGGTCTCCGTTGTGTGTATACGTGCTTTCCATTCACTATTGAATAATAATACCTTAAAGACAGAAACGTGGATAAAGCAACATTGGTGAACATTTGGCAATACATTTTGCATAAATTATTAATAAGAAATATTTCTGCCATTTGTACAGTTAATGGAATAAAATCAAATAATGTCAAAGGTTATTTAATTATGCATAAATAAAATGTTACACCTGGCATTTCTAGATATTATATTGTATCTACTAGTTTATAATTTAGTTGTTTGCAATAAAATCCGTTTTGATGAATTTATAGCGGAATTTAGAACAATTTCTATATCGCTACATAAATCTGTTGAAACATTGTTCGTTCGCAATCATATTGCTACATTGTGTTTAAATGTCGTAAAGAATTTACTCTTGTGAACGCTTAACTGATTGATGCCAATTGATATTACTGCGTGCATAACGCATCTTACGATGCACAATTGCGCATATCACGGTCGCTTTTTAATCGGTAATCTCAATCTGTGAAATTTTGCGTCCGTTAGCAAGCGTAAATAAAACTGCAACTGGTGAAAATGAGACGATTCTAATTGCAGACGCATTGCGACGATGGGGAGGAACAGATGATACTCACGATTTTGTTGGATGCGCGACTGGAACAACTGTCGCCTACCGTCAGGGTGACCGCCATCGAAAATCTTGCCGGATTTCTGGCAATGCATACGGTATTGATTTAATTATGTTATTTAAAATTAATAAACAATCTTTCTTTCGCTTTTTTTATACGGTAAACCTTGATTTATTTTAAAATTGAAAAATATATTTTTTATTAAGAGCGATAAAAAATTACTTAATTGATTATTTCTTGAATTTTGTTTATTTTTTTACAACATGGTGATGTGTTTTTGTATCTTTCAAGATGCATTTTTAATGCGTTAAAAATGATATAATTTTGATGTATTTTAGAATTTAAAGATATACTTGTTAAAAGTAAAGTTTATTATTATATTAAATAATTATTTTATTGAATTTCTTTCAATTTATGCAACATGAGTATATTGCACAATACATATTTACTTATTTTTATATTTTTTAGAGTGCATTCTCGATGCATTCACAAAGTGTTAAAGACGCTATGGCACTAGATTCTTCCGTTATCCTTACCGGACCTGGAAACGTTAGGCATCATAAATATAAAGAGAATCATCTAACTACTATCCAATGGCAGGTAAGATTTGAATGACATAATAAGATTGTTCTTAGCAGTTGCTCGTTTTATATCAAGTATAAAGAGGCTTAATCGTGCTAAATCATTGTCACTGATTTATCTTATTTCATTGGTATTGATGGCCGCATTAAGTAACTTGACGAGAAACGAGCTTGCTAAACGAGAAGAGAGCTAAATTCTTCTATTCTGGCAGTTCTTTAATCCTATTGATTTGTAGGTTGGTTGTGATGGTCACTTATGGAAACATCAAACGCAGTTGATGAAACAATTGCGGAAGCAAGCAAAGGACGGTACTTTAGCGGAAGTTCTGCAGTTGCCCGTGCTATTATGGCGCGTGAGAACGGACTCGAGTCTCTTCTTGAGAAACAGACGAGAGGCCGGCTCCGGCGATTACGGCAACTCAGATGATTACGGTTACGATGACGATTACGATGGTGATTACGACGAGGATGATGAAGACGGCGAAACTGACAACGAAGACACGCCGACTGAACACCCGCACAGGCATCATCATGGCGAAGAGACGATCGATTGGAAGGTAAAGGAAGATAACTGATAATAATTGATCGTAACAATGTAATTGCGCGATTTTTAATCAATTTGCACGAGAAGTGTAGGAATAATCGCATAAGAGAATATCCTTTATCTTCGAATTGTTTTTGTAGCACGAAAACTTTGATGAGGAAGATATAGTACCAAGAATGAGACAAAGCGAACTGGAGAATGGAACTACTACGGTAAGTGTTTTTATGAAATCAAAACGCGATTGCGTGATTTCTTCCGTTCAGTTTGTGATATTATTATACATTCGAAATACTCGGGCTCTACTATGGTTTCCGTTAAAATTCTTATTTCTGTGCTCCTTATTCGCCGTACCACATTGCTTATGGGGGAATTGTTGCGCTTAAAAAGTTTAGAATAGCTACTCTATTGGATACTGTGTATCTTTCAACGCTGGCCTATTTCGTTCTCGCAAACTGTATACTCGTTCGTCCAGGTCCACGTTCTAAAGTGTGCTGTACAGATTGCGTCACGAGAGTCTACGCAAATGAAAGCCTGATATTTTATTCCTTATTTGTACATCATCTTCTCGTTTCATTGAACGTAACTAACTCACTCGTTTCTCGTGCCGTACATCGCATCTACTAACGATTTCGCAGACAACAACCACTGAACTTACATCATCACCATCAACTACAACTGCAACCATCTCCACCACCACGCCGACAACTACAACCACCACCCAAGTCGCAACGACCGTAACTACTACTCCTAGTAGCACCATAACGACTACTACCACATCAGCCGATGTAACAGCAACAGCTAGAATCTCGACCGCTATAGCTCCATCAGAGTCTCCGAGATCGGAGGTCACGGATGAGGAATCGTCGGCGGAGAAAACGAAACACGTGGATATCTTGGAATCCTTGGAATCCTTGGAATCGGTTACCGTTTTACCAACTGCTCCTGCGGACACCACCACGACTCCTCTTTCCATAACTACCCTATTGTCTTATAGCACATCGGCCACCCAAACTAGCGTCTCCGACAGAATTGAAACGGAAGTCATCGATGTTATTAGTAACGTTACGATGGAAGAGGTAATGCTTACATGCTTTAACGCTTTTCTCATTTGTATGATAGTTGACGCCGCTGTACACGCCAACTTTCTCGTGCGCATATCGTTCCATTTTGTCCGAGCTATCGCTTTATCGAGATAAATTATTATCATCCTAATGAAAACGTCATCCGTTATTAACGATGCAGTTAATAGCGGCGTAAATTTCTCTTGTAATTATGCAAATTTCTCTATTACACTGTTACACATTATTATTCTACGCTGATGCAGCGATCGTTTCGCATTTTGATATACGATTTTTACTCATCTAGCCGGAGCAAACTACGATTTCGATGAGAGAACCGACCATTATACCGTCGACATCGATTGACGTTAGCGTCATCAATACTTCACCTGCAATTGTGACGAATGTTAGTATCGCCTCTACTAGTCCTACGATTCTCGTAACGAATGCCACAACTACAAGCGCGATACCATCAACATCGGAGCTTCAGACGACGTTGAGCACGACACCGTCCACTACCACCACCACTACAACTACCACTACTGCGGCTCCTACAACCACCACGACAACGACAACTACAACGGTTCGAGTTACCACGGAAGGAATTGAGTACGGTCAAGCTAATTTTCCGCCGAGACGTGATAGGATATTAAAGAAGATACCGGTAACCGCCGGCAAACCATTGAGTTACGTCATACCGGCTAACACCTTCAACGATTTGGAGGATGGCGACACGAGGAAGTTGAAATTGAGCTTGTACTGGCAAGGAGTATCGCTCAAACCAACCCATTGGCTCCAGTTCAATCAACATACGCAGGAAGTTTACGGACTGTAAGTTCTCATGGTATCTTTCATGTGTATTTCTCGAGCGAAATAGTGTAGAATTTATTTAGATGGAATTAAAGTTCTCTTAAGAATCACGTTGAGGATTTGTGATTATATATACATATTATATTTAAACTAGAATACGAATATTACAAAGAAAAATGAGAGTTAGATTGTGGCAGTACGCAACTTGCGCGTTGTTAAATAGCTAACAATCTCTTTCTTACGCGTTAATGTTCGTGTATTCGGTTTCTCGATTATTCTAATTATAGTGTCTTGCACTCTTTATACATTACATGCAAACTCGGTCTTGTTTCTTATATCGCACTTGCTAGCAACTCGCAACTCGTAATATAACTTGAACTACTCTGTTCATTTTTGTGCGTCTCGTTTGGCGGTTTGTCACAAATTCCTCAAAAGACAAAATCACTGTCTCCATGTCCTCGTGCACACGTCACACATAAACAAATATATAGATTATTATGTATTGATCGATTGAGATCATTATTTTAGAAATTTTCCACAATAGATAGATCTTTTTATCAAATATTTTTTTCAAACAGGCCTCTTGAAAACGATATATCAACGTGGAACTATGAACTGGTTGCCACAGACAGCGAAGGTGCTAATGTCTCCGACAATCTCGACATTCATGTTCAACAGCACAAACTGAGTCGTAGCGTCAATCACGAATTCAACATTTACTTGAGAATTGATAAACGTAACGAATTCCCGACAGACGTTGACTGGGAACTTAAGGTATATCTTATTAATATTTTTTTATTTTTCTTTTAAAATTTTTTTAATAATTTCTCTTTTTGAGAAACTCTCATCCCTAATTCTTTCATGCTTATAGGTGATTCGAAGCTTGGCTAAACTTTACGGAGACAGCGACATACAACACATCACGGTTCGTCGCATTAATATTGATCGTGAACAAGTCATTTTCACGTGGACTAACGATAGTCTTCCAAGGAGCAGCGAATGTCCACGAGAACATATAAATAGATTATTACGCGTAAGTAATTGTGCTATATTATCTCTGTTTTGTGGAATAAACTGTAACAGATTTTGAAAACAATTTACGTGTTATCAGGTGCTCGTCGACAGTAACGAAGATCCGTCATCTTCTCTAATAGCAGTTCTCGCTCCGGAAATCAGGGTCAAGCGTGTCGTGTTTAAAGGTATTGGGCAATGTGAGGATATGAATCCGCCCATTGTACCAAAAGTTTCTACCGAAAAGCCAAAGGAGAATCGTCCACCGGTGCCGAGAAATCAAGTTGATCACGTTAATGCGACAGTTGGGCAATTGCTTGTGTTTAAAGTGCCAGAAGTATGTAGTAGTTTTATCAATTCTCAATTCGTGTTTGTCAATGTGGACAATGTGTCTAATTATCTTGATTATTTTTGCAGGATACATTCTTTGATGTTGAGGACGGTTCGTCGCGAAATATGAAGATGTCACTTTTGACAGTTGATCGAATATCTATTCCACCTCACGAGTGGCTGCAATTTGATAGCAAAAATCAAGAATTTTACGGCGTGCCAATGCGTACCGACGAGGGTCGCAAACAATATCAGTTGGTTGTCATCGACAAAGAAGGTAAAATAGTGTAGTTTTATTTTCAAATATTAGAAATATGTTTATAATGAGACGAAATAATTAAAAATGATTATTTTAGGTTTAAGCGCTACAGATGGATTGATTGTTGTCGTTCATCCAGCACCATCCATGTCACATACGGTGGAGTTTTCTATGACGCTGGATATTCCTTACGATTCTTTCGCGCACTCCGCGCTCCAGAAACGCAATTTTATTGAAAAATTGCGAGATCTTTATGGAGACAAAGACACGAGTGCTATTTCACTGCACAATATCTCGAATGGTAGTACCGTCATCACGTGGCATAATAGAACTCTACCTACATCATATTGCGCCCACGAGGAGGTCAACAGGCTACGTTCTGTGCTCGTGAAAAGTGACAATGATCGTCGTTCTGTGACGGACGAAGTGTTGGACGTGATGGGTTCCAAATTCCCCGTGAAACAGATCACAGTGATCCCAATGGGAATCTGCCTCGGCGAATTAACTGATATTCATTCGCCGGATAGTCACGTTCCACCAGTAGACGACTCCACGTCCGTTGGTGCGTTCCATGACGATTATCTTCTAACCTTTGTCCTCCCGGCGGTTATCATCGCCGCTATGCTCATCTTAGCGGGCATCATCGCGTGCGTATTATATAGACGAAGACGCAGCGGAAAAATGAGCGTTAGTGAGCAAGATGACGAGCGACAGAGTTTTAGAAGCAAAGGAATTCCTGTGATTTTCCAGGACGAATTGGACGAAAAGCCGGATCCTGGTAAAAAAATGCTAATTTATCATTATTAACGAAGATATATTGTTTATATGATATTCTCAATATTTAATGGGCACATTGTAACTTCAGGCAATAAATCACCTGTCATTCTGAAGGAAGAAAAACCGCCTCTCCCACCGCCTGAATATCAGAAAACCGAAGATGGGGCCGATGTGCCGATGCTATCGAAGGAAAACTCCGAAGAACCGTACCAACCACCGCCACCGTTCGCGACAAATCGCGAAACCAATCGGCAAAATCGCAAGCCTACCCCGACGTACAGAAAACCGCCCCCTTACGTGCCTCCCTAACAAAATACGGTACACTCGCCTACGCGCAAATATATGCTAGCAATGCTCGGAGACTCACCGATACATAAACAAAACCAAATCAATTATAAAAAGCAATTTCAAATCGGCGACGATGACAATGACGATCGTGGGGCTCTGAACGTTTATAGCGACGTTTGAAAGAGAGCCCTTCCATTCACCAGGTATGACAATATACTACTATTTGCTGGATGTGAATGGAAGATTCTCCCGCGAGAACTTTCTATACAAACCTACATGTTTTTACTTATTTTATATACGTATGTACAACCAACGGCACGTCTCACCATCGATTTATCGGTAATGCGTTCGAAAAAAAACTCGTCAGACGCAATGTACGATTAACGTACGATTGACACACTTTCTCTCTCGATTGTCTATATTTCACGCGGAAGAAAAAGAAAAGATTTTCTAGGAAGTGTGTATGGGAATACAAATCACGTGTTGCCTTTCGTAAAGAATTCAATTGTAGAGAAGGATCCACTGCTCCAAACTCGATATTTAGTTTAGATCATTGTAGGACCGAGACAGCGCGATAGGGTAAATGTACTTTATTCAATTCTATAGCATTCGAAACAGCAACGATACTCATAAATGTTTCAATAATCAGTGCCATTTATTAAGCAATAAGGGTATCCGAGACACGTAACAACATGTATGTATAATTGCTACAATCCTACGGATTTATTGTAATTACTACTTATAGAGAGAGTCTCCAGGTATCAAGAACGATTGACTTAACGAAATACTTTGTATTATGCACTTACATACATGTATAACACTGCCAGAATGACAAATGTACGATAAATCGCCAAGTGAGTTGGTTTACAGATATATATATCTATATCTATATAGATGTAGATATATATTCTAATTTTTCTTTCCTAAAACCCTCTATTTAAGATAGTTTGTGAAGATATAAAACGAAACGGAAGTAAATGTCATTCTCGGGTGAACTAGCTTATTTGGCGATCCCTAATATTTAAGGAAGAAATATCGAAGATAACTGAAATGTTTTTGAGACATAATTTAAAGGAACGATACATGCAATGCCATTGCAAAGTGACAGCAAATGCTTCCATTGGCGCGGTAGGCCATGCAGATAACTTATCTAAGGTAAGACAAAAAACTAATGATAATATATATACAATATAAATATATATAAATATGTATATTACTATAGCTATTTGCCGTTCGATAGACGACAGTCTGCAGTTATTTAGAACAGTGTAATTTAAATACTGCCAGACCAATCAAGTTATTAGCATTTACATTTCACTATGAGAAGAAACGCCTTTCTGTTTTACGCACAATTTGACGCTTTGTAGCTTTTATAATTCAATAACTGCAATAAATTTTTTATTTTTTTGCATTATTTACAGGCGCGTATGAGTTAGCATCGAAGAGTTAACTCAGGACAAAAAATGTTGATGCGCACGTACATAAAGATGAGACTATTTAATTTAGATTTTATATAGTTACCAAGCCAAAAAAATAATTAATATTTAGAAAGAGAGAAAGAAAGAAAGAGAGAGAAGAGGATAAGGCAATAAGGGCGCATTTGTAATTGTGAGAAAACGTGGCTCGCACTCTTTAAGGCGCATTTTTTTATAATGGTTTTTGTAATTTTTTAACTACTGTGTTACAAAACACACATACTATATCATCGTTTGTATATCCGGTGCGGCAAAAGAGTGCGGGGTATAAGTATGTATGTATGTTGTTTCTTCAATACTTCGATAGTTTCCTGATATTTTTGAGAGGAAATACGAGAAAAAAACGAAATACGAAAAAAAAGATCCGTGTGCGTTCTAAATTTGAAGGTTCCATTTGTCGATTGCATTTGTCAATGGACGATGAATGGATCGACGAATTTACGAGCGCGCCTAATATACTGTTGGAATGCTGAAGATTATACGTATGTAAGATGATAAGAGAATGTTTCGTATGCAAGCTATAAGAATTATGATATAATACTATTAATTCATGTCTTTGTAACGTAGAGGATTTAAGTATATGACAACTCAGACAAGGGGAGTTCATGAAGTATGACTAAGATTCTTTTTATCTTTTGCGAGCAAATATATCAAAATTTGGATCAAATTTCTCTGTAATTTCGAGAGAAGCGCGCTTTCTCGTTTAGCTGCGGCTTAACTGTTTTATGCTTGCAAAAAACGAAAAGAATTGATGAATTGCGTGTCATGAACTCTACTTGTAAATACTTTTCATCATTCATCATATCTTGTTTATCGCAGAATTTTATTTAAAAAAATTGTCGCTTGTACGCGATTGCTTTATTGTGCTTGATATCATGAATTAATAGATATAAGTATGTTTTCTTATTATTATTATTATTTTTATAATGTACGAATAAAGATCTTGTGTGTTAAATTTGATTAAGAGTTAAATGTAATCTATGCTTATTATCAGGTAAGGTGTGATTATTTTATAATTGTGATATTTCTTTGTGCGTGGTTCTCGTTGGGAGAATAAATATAAATTCATGCGCGAGTATTGTAATGCGGATCCAACGGATAATATTGTCTACAATGTCAATTTTTATTAAATCAAAATTTGCACTTACTATTAACACGCTGGACTTGTATATTTATTGTCTCAGGCGAGATCTCAACAAAGTAATAGTACATTAAAATGAAGGAAAAGTAACGCTATTCTCTACGGTAATATAAAATATTCGAAGATTAATGGACTAGAGTGGATTTATAATAATCATTTAACACCAAGAGAAGCTATTGCGTTTATGATGCAATTTTGCGTCATAAACGGTTGCAAAGAGCTTTATATTCCGTTTGTGGTCTGCGGTAAACAAGCACAACTCATATCATGCTTTTAATCATATCACTGCTCCCACGCGTATCCTTTAAGCACTGCAATTGCATTACTGTGAAAATGATGATAATGTGTACAAGAGGCACGTACGATATTTATAAGATAGAAGACAACGTAAAAGGGGACACTTTGAAAAGAATGCATTTCACAAAGAGCGTATTTGCTAACAGTGACTTTCTGGCCTGTATGAAAATGGATCGAAAGTATTTTATAATTGTGTAAAAAGAGAGGGTGGCATAAATTGTGAAGTTAAGAGTGACCGTAACTTTCGTATTCGGCCGCTTTCTGAGAAATCGGGCTAACGGCAGGCACAAAGTAAAAGTTCCATTAGAGAAGAATAAGGAAAAAGAGGGAAAAGTGCTATCTCACATTGCTCATACGAACATGTTGCACGCATAGTCATATATTTATATGTTATATTTATATGCATGTATATACAACATGTTTATGGGCAAAGATAGTTCTTAGGTACATATACACCTAAAAGTAGCAGATTGACTGGAATTTTCAGATTATTTTTATTCGCTATATGAGCACTTCGATATATACCGAGTAAAGCGCTTACGTTGATGTATTCGTGAAACGGAAACGCGAAGCATCTTTTGTGTGACGTGCTTCTGCGTTAAATAACGAAGCTGTCGACATTTATTTTTTAAGTTTGCATTAAATAACATCTCGAAAGAGAGAGAAAGAAAACCCGCGAGAAAAGGGCATCAAGCATGCGTCTGAAGTCGCATGGTAACTTCGAGACCATAACGCTCGTCGATGTGAATAAATGGGAAAAAAAGTATCGAATTAATAATATACATATGCAGATATCTCTCTGAGATAAGTACTACATGCTAAACACGTGTAAAGTTAAGAGTCAATAAAACCATTTTAGGATACTGCGTGTTTCTCTCTGCAACTATGAGTGTTAATGTCATTTCCAAAGATCCCACCATCGCCATTGCACTTCTCATGCAACATTTGTGTAAGCAATTATAATTACTCGACAAAGAATAATTGTATTAGAACACATATTTAATGTATAAGTTCGATTTTAGCCAATAGTGTTCGAGATTTGATTTTCCTAAGTCTTTAAATAATTTTGATAGTGTTTCTTTAAATAAAATTATTATGATCTTATTTTATATGTCACATATTTCTATCAAAAAATTTTAAATATTATATATTTGTAGAGTTACAAAATTTACATCTAATATTTGGTTGTAAAACAATTTTTGTAAAACAATGTTTTTATGGTTATGTAAGAATTCAATGGATTGAAAGAAATTCATGCATATAAAATAATTTCATATTTTACAGATTAGATTGCGAAAGAAGACATTAGACGTAATGTAATTGAGTGCTCGAATTTCCGTGATTATATAAGATTTTTTAAGATCACGGTACAATACGATTTCCTATTCGTTCCACGCTATGCATCTCGAGATAATATGTAAAATACTTTGCGTTGTGCGAACTTACGTCATGCGAATAAATACATTTCTCGTCTCGTGCTTTCGGCAAGGTTGTATTTTGTAGCGAAAGAGGTTAATAACAACGATTTAAAGCTCCTCAATAATTTTAATGTAAATAAGCTCCTTGATATATTCCTTGTTTGTATGAAGAGCAAATTATCATTTCCTGACAACCCACATTTCTATCTTTCAAGTATGCATTTTATTTGAGATCGTATTAATGTGAAGAGAGCGTCGCGTGCTGTACTGTCAATGCTAAAGAGATTCATCGCATAAATTGAATAAAAAAACTATATTATGCATTATTTTATACTTAAATATTAATGACAAATTAAAAAGATTATAAATAAATTTTATAATTATATATATGTATTTTTTTATTATTTTACTCTCTTAATGTTTCTACATACTTATTCAAAAGATTTAAAGCTGAATCTTGTGACAATATCTTATGCCTAACCGGAAGAAATTTGTTACTATTTACTGCGATTCAAAGATTGATTAAGTCGAAAAGATAAGCGAGTGTTACGTCGAGTAAACGAGATATCTCAACACGTGCATGTAAGTAAATACAAATAGTAATGCACTTTGTACGGTTATTTTGCGTACAAAAATGTGTATTACTCGAGCAATATAAAAGATATATTGCTCCGAACTGGAATCTTTTGGAATTCATTCATTTTATTAGAAGCAGCGGCTCCTTTTATGACACAATATAGACGAAATTATGATGCTTTAGCATGCATCACGTTTTGTAATGTATCGTTGAAATAATGTTATCTTTGAATGATAAAAGGAGAGCCGCGTGCTTCTTGAGTGATTGCAAACACAAAAAAGATAAACTCCTTTCATTCGGTGAAAGTGATTCACAATTTAATTTTATCTTTACAGCTACGAATTATCTTTACAGCTACGAAGAATCATGAAGTAAATCTTTACTGTAGCAATATCAAATGTAAATATAAGCAACAATAATAGATTTTGCTCTTATATTATTGCGCTATATTTTATCTTTTACACGATCTTTATCCGTGATAAAAAAATTTGACAGTACAAAGATGTATTTCTCTCGAAAAGGCGTTGCAACAAAATTCGTAATTACCCACACAGCACGCATATCCAAAAAACATCCAGAAGACATCCCGAAGATATTTTTGAGAGATACGATATCTTTGGGATGTCTTCTGATCGTCCCTCGGATATGCAACACTATATATACATTTATTTTATTAAAATATATTAGTTTATCCTGAATAGATAGTATTTTATTCTTTGACTTCTTATGATTTAATATGTAATTGCACATGCTATAGTTACTGGATCACTCGCGTGTCGAAACAAATGGAAAAATCTGACAATACTCTTTTTGCTAAAATATCTGAAAGCAAATGGTACTGGTAGAAAAAACATTAATCATTTGCCTTACAATAACAAGTGACATCGTGCTACAGATTTTATGCCAAAACTGAAAAATACGAGTGTGACTCGTAACGTAAATCACGGTCCAACATGATCACACATCAATACGAATGAAACTCGTGATTGTTATAAGCGCTACATTTAACTATCGCTTGTCCCAACGTAGAAATTAAATGGTCAACTATGGCGCGCGCAATGATCTGAAAAATCGTAAGTTAAGGAGTTAATTCTTTTAAAAAATATCAAATATATCAGCATGTGAAACAATATAGAATGTAATTAGTTTCTGTAATATCATACACAAATCCAAGTCGTGATTATTATGTTTGCACTGCGAGTCGAACTTATTTTTATCAAGCTTTGACAAGAAAAAAATAGTCTGAAAAAAGTCTTTTATTTTAGCCTAACTTTAATCAAATGCACGCAGTATTTATGCGAATATATGTTATGTCAAAAGAAAGAAGTTAGTTCGAAACGTTTAAACCTAGCTGGAAAGATTCGGACTATTTGACGTTCAAGTCAAATGAGATTCGGACTGTCCGAATTTATCGCGATTACGTGAAATTTCCGAGTTTTAATAACTATTACAAGTACAATTTGTGTTTATCATGTTTGGTCCGTAATTTAAATTATGAGTCTTACCTGATATTACAAGAAAAAAGATGAGTAAATCCTCATTGTTAACTTTGTCTAAAATAAAACTATGTAGAAAAACAATAAATATTTTGCATCCACTTAATATATGCACAATCTAAAATTTATTTAATATTTTATAGCAAAGTAAATTTTTTTAAAATGTGTATGAATACAATCTAGCTATTGTTTATCCATCATTAATCGATTAGCATCCACCATCTCCAATCTTGCTTTTTTACACTTGCACGTGTATATTCAAGTACATTTGCAGCACGTATGCATATAACAGACGGCGCACAGTGGTATCATATACGTGAATCACGGAAAAAATTATATAATTCGTTAACCTTTAAAGATCGGGCTTTTTTGATGACTTTAATAGTTTTCAATTGCATACATTTGTCAGTGTATTATATTAGTAGAAATCAAACATCAATATGTATCCTGTAAAAATTAATTATGCAATGTATTTTTATTCAAAAAGCGGCGAGCAACATGAGATGCGTGTTCAAAAGAAAAAAATAAAGAAAAGATATTTTATATCAAAAGAGGTATTTTATAATTAACTTGAACTGAGAATAAATACAATTAAACAATATAATATATGTATATACAAGCCGGGAAGTCTATTTATAGACTCTATATTGACTCTATACTGTCTTATTTCCACTAATACATTATATTGATAAATATTTGAAACTTATAAATTGACTTTTAAAACTGTTAAAAAATCGCCCAATTTCTAAAGATTAATATTCATTGATCAAAATCAATAAATTAAAAACCATTGATTTTGTTATTTATAATCACTATTTTCATTAATCAAATGTCATTAATTAAAACAATCGCTATTATTCAGTGATACTTATTGATATGTTTATAATTTCAATATGGTGCCTTTGTACTATTCTTTTCCTTGCCTTTTTATTTCAACTTATTAAAGTGTTCTCATTTGCAACAACAATTGATCCTATTCAATAAGGTACTGCATAATTATAAATATAATACTGCAAATTAATACAATCTTATTAGAAATAAGATTTTACTAATTTTCAGTGCCATATTTATAACTAAATCATCGATGATTGTTCACTGTTCGAAAATACATTGATTCGGCTTATGATTGTTCCTATGTATTAAGAACTTCTCCCCCTCCCCTCTCTCTCTCTC